AATTCTGGGAGTTGAAGTCCACCCATCTTCAAGTTGCCAAGGTTGAGAAACACTGATCTATTATATTAGGTTGTGCTCAATCTGTACACAACAATATTATCAACAGCAGCCTAATGAAGCACACACTTTCTTAGAACCAAATATCCAAAAGGACTGCTATGTTATGGATCCATCCTTGGTATCCAGGGGGTTCATGGTGCTGATCCATAGGAATCCCATCTCTTGTTTGGTGTTCAGGGTTGAGAGGCAGCCAGAAGATTTGAAACGGGAGCAGCTGGCCCTTTAAATCGAGCTTCCCTTGGCACATGCGCATCCAGCCGGATCATTGAGTCGGGATTCTGACTCAAGCGTCTCCTCAGCCGGCGAGTCTGCCAGAGCGGCGGTGACCGCAAACAAAAAGACAATAAATCTTGTGGTTCACAAGGGGCGACCCTCCAGACAAATAGTGTAGTAACGCAGCGGATGGTCTTTGTGAACTCTTGCTTCCTGGATGAGGTTTTGGGGAGAAGAACGTCAGTTTCCGCCTGTAATCTTGGTTGTGATGCAAGCAGGGGTTGCCCCTGATAAAGAAACAGGAAATTGTAGGGTCTTTTGTATGGCAGCGTTACCTTTCTGGAACATTTTGCCCCGAGACGGTTTCCAGTTTACACCTCCTTGTTGCGCCAGAATACTTAAAAAAAAATTAGCCAACAAAGATGAAAGCAATATAGTAATACAAGCAAAAAGAAATCATATACACGTATGTACATAATTATGATAACAATAAACTAAAACTGTATATGCAATTTGTACCTTCGCTGGCTGCACCATGCCATGAGTTAATATACTGCATTAACCCTGATGGCAGGGTTAGCCCAACTTAACAGCTGTAAATGATCCAGCCACAACCTGAAGTGAGGGTCTTATGCAAACCCCCCAATCAGGAGGAGCCTGGTAGCGCCTTTTCTGACGAATGCATTTTGTTCAAAGGCGTCAGCTTTCGTGAACTGCAGCTGTCTTCGTCAGAGGCCCGGAGAGCCTCAGTGGAACACGTCGGACGAAGTGAGCCACAGTTCACGAAAGCTGACGCCTTTGAATGAAATGCATTCATCGGAAAAGGCGCTCCTGGACTCCTGATTTTTTTTTTTGCCACAATAGGCTAACATAGCGCTCCTCCGTTTCTGTCTCTTGCGGGATGCGGCTGTTTTTACTTAGTAATACGTACCGACCATCTCTTCGTGTCAGTGCGTGTAGCAAAGCGTGTGTCCTAGAGGAGCAGCAGGTAAACATCTAGTAGATAAAAACAGGAGGACCTTTAAGCAGGTTCAGCGTGCTCTCCCATCACGTTTTAACACACAAACAGCCTCCCGTCTCCTGACATAGCAGAACAAATCATAAAATGGGCCTTGTTTAGTATTGGCTGATCAAGTTGTCACCCCAGATACCACGCAGGTAAGAATCAGTTTGATGGCACCGCAGCGTGAGAACCCCACCAGTTGTGATCTATTTAAAAAAAAGCACCCCTAAGAAAACCGCATTGGCCTACCAGAGCCTAGAATTCAGGGCTGGGCTTAGGGGCACCGCAAACATGTCAACCGGAGAAATCAGATCCTCCAGTGAAGCTCCACCCGCCACGGCTACCCGGACCCAGCTCTGCCCGGTACAGAAGTGGCACCCTTCCTTCTGGTGGCGTTTTTCGATTTCCCCCCAACCCTCCTTGGCGCTGGCCAAAATGATGGGGAGCCCTAATTTGATGGTCCTGTTTATTGGCAAATCAAATCAGAGTTTATGGATTAGCCCTAAGGCCTTATCAAGATAACAATTAGACAGTAAATAATTCATAAAACTCTTTACAGAAGTAATGTAACAAACAGATTAAATCAAACATGAATAAAAAGAGAGTAATAAGTAGGTATACATGTAAGTAAAAATGCAAATCATGTTTCCGTATCACCCCGGCAATTCACTCCAATTGACCCCACCGATGTAGATCTCAAACGCATTGCCTTGCTTAAAAACAAGGCTGTGTTGTATGTTCTTTTTGGGTTTTGACCACACATCAAATATGTTATTCTAATACGTGAATCCCAATGGGTTGTTCGTTTAACATATGGGCCAAGGTGTAAGTCTGTCACCCTCTTATACAAGTTACAGTCTTGTATGTGTGCTCTATCCTTGATTTCATGTGCTCTGCATATACAAATGCGTTCATTATAAGGGATCCTGTTAGATATTCCAGATCTGACCATAGTATCAAGTTGATCAAATCTAGCTCTGTTTCTTGGCAAAACCTTCCAAGAGAAGAGAAGATCTGTCGCTCAGGGTTGAACTGTGGAGTCCTTGGTGCTCTCTGAGCTTGGTGGTTTTCTTGTAGACGACTAGGTAACACCACAAATGTGAGAGTGTGGGGTTCACCCCGTTTATATACAGTAGCTTGCCCT